CTTTGATAACCCTTCTACAATCTTCTTGTCGCAATCCTTGAAGATTCCAGTTAATTGCCACCAACTTGCACCAGCCTATAATTGTTTTCTGTGAAATCTTCTAGGAACCACCATGCCTTTTTTGACCGATGACTTGTGGTACTTTCTAAATAATTCTAGAATTATAAATTTATTTTTAACATGACAAAGTGGTTTACTTTAAATTTCAAAGTTTCATGTATAATCAACTATACCCAACAATTATAATATTTACTTACCCANTTTTATAAAATAAAATTTTCTTGACGCTCTTCTTGACAGAGAGGGTTATTGTCAATTGATTGGGAAGTGTAAGTTCTTGTGGTATGATCTCAAATCATTGAAAGTGTTAGAAAGAATGCGTACAGGTTACCGGAGGATGAATAGGTACAAAGTAATTCCACCTGATATGCTATTTATGCATCTGCTACATCTTTTCTTCATTGCATTATTTTGTTTTCCATTCATTGTTATTCTCTCTTATTATATTACTCTCTTTTCTTCATTTTGTATTTGTTTCATGTTCTTCTTTTGATATAATTTTACTTTTTTTTTTTTTATCAATTTCTACAATATTTCTTCGACATCTCAGATAACTTATTAGAATGAATTCGCTCATCGTTAATCAAGTTCGATTCTCCTCTTTATAGATGTTTTCATCATGTCTTTGATAACCCTTCTACAATCTTCTTGTCGCAATCCTTGAAGATTCCAGTTAATTGCCACCAACTTGCTCCAGCCTATAATTGTTTTCTGTGAAATCTTCTTCCATCTTCTAGGAACCACCATGCCTTTTTTGACCGATGACTTGTGGTACTTTCTAAATAATTCTAGAATTATAAATTTATTTTTAACATGACAAAGTGGTTTACTTTAAATTTCAAAGTTTCATGTATAATCAACTATACCCAACAATTATAATATTTACTTACCCAAGAAAAAGTATATTTATACTTGTATATATACGATTTATAAATGTTAGTATTTGTGAAATATTTTTGATTTCCTATTTTATATATAATTATTATGATAAAGTCAATTATATCCACCTATATACTTTTATCTAATTTATATTTTAACCTCTTTTATAAGAATTTTTAAATTCTTTTGAACTCATTTATTAGTAATACATTTACATACAACTATCTATATTTATATCTATATAAAAAAGTAAAATCATATATATGTTAAATTATTATACATATATAGTTCCTAGGTTAAATTCTACGGTCCAATATATACTATATTTTATTTTTTGGCATGCAATAATATAATAATATTATAAATAATCTAATCAATTTATTTAATAAAATAAAATTAATAATTCTATAATATAATTATACTTGCAAATGTCTAAATAATTAAATTTAAAAATAATTAATATATGAATTAATTATTCAACACCTAATTTATTATTTAATTCACATTTTATATAAAAAAAAATAATATATTTAAATTTATTTATGTGCAATACACGTCGTGCATTATTAGTGAGATATCAAAAGCATCAAACCGCTACGCAAAACCCAACCCGTGACTCCATGAGGGTGTTTGGATGTTGAGTTTGGATAGTATAGGTTTACTTGTTTTTGTTTAGCTGTGTTTACCCAACCCCATAGGTAGAAACAAGGGTGGCTCGATATGTTTTGAGGTTTAAAGTGATAAATTTAATTATGATTTTTTAATTTTTTTTTAATAATAATGTAAATTTTTTAATATTTAATTTTTTTCCCGGATGCATATTAATTGTTTAGTATTCATATTGAAGTTTTTTAACATATTTTTTTTATTGATAGTATAAATATTTGATTTAATTTTTTAATTAAATAAAAAATTCCAAAACATTCAAATTCAAAGATTATTTGACAAATTATGTTGTCTCATTATTGATACTCTTATAAAATTATTTTTCTATGAATTAGGGATTTCTCATAGAATATATGTTTGATTAGGTTTTTTAAGATTATGATAAAAAAAGATAATATTACATAAACTTTATTTAATGACTTTATTTAGCAACATTATCATTTTTTGTTATTAGATAGACAGTGGACCCTACTATTAGTTGAGACCCACTATTAATTCCATAGTTATGATCCATCATGTCACAAGATAAGATTACTAAATTAGGTAGAAAACATATTTTTGGGCTCAAAATTAGTCTAGAGTTTTTTTTTGGTTTAGGCCTTCGCGGGGATTTTTTAATGGGTTAAAATTGACTTGGCTATATTTGTAGACTTTTTAAATTTTGGGGCTTTTATTATTGGTGGGCCTAAAGCCACTTCTTCATTTCCCCCTACATTGGGCCGGCCTTGGGTAGAAATTATGATACTTTATATTTTTATCTGATACTTTGCGAAAAAAAATTTCTTAGCCTACCCTAACTGATCAAATATACTATTTTTACCCGAATTCCATCTAAAACAATTAGGTAGAAATCGAATGAAAATATATTTTTTAATTATTAATTTTTGGATAATTTTAACAATTTAATTAAGTAATATGTACCAATTAACTAGTACAATAAGCCAATAACACTAAAGAAACACAACAAATTTGATAATACATAAACAATTACAATAAAACCCAACAAGAAAGTCATAAAACATCAATACATCATATATAAAAAAGCCATAGGCGTCAATAAACATTAGAGTTTCTAAATTTTTGAATTTCATTTTTTATGAATTAACACACACACACACACACATATAATACAATAATTTTATTGGTATTCCGCATTTTTACTTGATTTTTTATGAAATAATAAAAAACTTCTGTTGGCCTACCTGATTCTTTCATGTAGTTGATCAATAAAGTTGGGTAAGGTAGGGTATCGTCACAATTTGCAGATAATCGAAAATTTAAACATCCCTATTATTATTTTAACCCATCCAACCCAATGACCCTATCCNCTGTGTTTACCCAACCCCATAGGTAGAAACAAGGGTGGCTCGATATGTTTTGAGGTTTAAAGTGATAAATTTAATTGTGATTTTTTTATTTTTTTTAATAATAATGTAAATTTTTTAATATTTAAATTTTTTCCTGGATGCATATTAATTGTTTAGTATTCATATTGAAGTTTTTTAACATATTTTTTTTATNCCCTATCCACTTTCGTTGGTTTGGATAAAATATATCGGAGAGAATTATACTTAGACTCCCTGAGATTTGACACTTAATTATTTAGATTCTCTGATATTTAAAATATTATTTATAGATCCTCTAAAGTTTGTACACACGTAACATTTAAATTTCCACCTTCAATGTTCGTATATCCATTAATAAATTATACCTATACACTTGAAGTTTGTAGACATGTAATATTTAAACCCTTCAAGTTTAAAATATTATACTTAGACTAAAAATACTTCAATCAAAGATATAATATCAAATATTTTAAATTTTATAACAAAAATTCATGTTCTATTATATTATTTATTAAAATAAAATAAAAAAAATTAATTTTTTCTTAAAAAAAATCTAATTTTTTCTTAAAAAAATTATAATTAGTATACAATTATACTATCTATTGAAAGAAAATTAAAAAAAATCAAACAAGGGATTAAATTGTAATTGACACAATATCTTCTATCTTTAATTGCGATAATTTGGTCGTGTAATATATTTCATTAGTTTTATAACTAATAAGGGGTCTANACACACACACACACACACATATAATACAATAATTTTATTGGTATTCCGCATTTTTACTTGATTTTTTCTGAAATAATAAAAAACTTCTGTTGGCCTACCTGATTCTTTCAGGTAGTTGATCAATAAAGTTGGGTAAGGTAGGGTATCGTCACAATTTGCGGATAATCGAAAATTTAAACATCCCTATTATTATTTTAACCCATCCAACCCAATGACCCTATCCACTTTCGTTGGTTTGGATAAAATATATCGGAGAGAATTATACTTAGACTCCCTGAGATTTGACACTTAATTATTTAGATTCTCTGATATTTAAAATATTATTTATAGATCCTCTAAAGTTTGTACACACGTAACATTTAAATTTCCACCTTCAATGTTCGTATATCCATTAATAAATTATACCTATACACTTGAAGTTTGTAGACATGTAATATTTAAACCCTTCAAGTTTAAAATATTATACTTAGACTAAAAATACTTCAATCAAAGATATAATATCAAATATTTTAAATTTTATAACAAAAATTCATGTTCTATTATATTATTTATTAAAATAAAATAAAAAAAATCTAATTTTTTCTTAAAAAAATTATAATTAGTATACAATTATACTATCTATTGAAAGAAAATTAAAAAAATCAAACAAGGGATTAAATTGTAATTGACACAATATCTTCTATCTTTAATTGCGATAATTTGGTCGTGTAATATATTTCATTAGTTTTATAACTAATAAGGGGTCTAAATATAATATTTTAAATTTAAGAGCTCTAAGTATTACATACTTATAAATTTTAGAGAATCTAAATATAATTTATTAACCGATATACTAATTAACATTGACGATAAAGATTCAAGTGTTACATGCATACAAACCTTAGAGAGCCTATATGTTATATTTCAAATACTAAAGAATTTAAGGAATTAAGAAACAAACTCTCCCTATATATTGCCAGTCCTACTATGGCGGCCACCTTTAAATCTTGTGGGATCCACGAAACACCCAACACTTGGAGAAAATATTTGGGTTGATATCACAACATATTTGTTGTATAAATTTACCCTTGTGCCCTCAAACTTCTCGCCCTGCATCCCAAGTGCTGTCTTCTGTCCTCCTTTTAAGATCAGGATCAGAAGGCAGATGGCCTCACAGGGTGCAGTTCAAGGCAGTGTAGTCTGTAGCTGGGGCTTACATGGAGCTCAAGGGCATTTATGACATTCTGCCAATGACTCCTGTCGGCTGAGTTTTTAACCCATATAAATAGGCTAAATGATACTCTTCAAATCGGGGAGGGGATAAGATCCGAAAAAGATTTCCCAGCCATTTTTTGCATTGCCAATCATCTGTTGTCGTTGTACATAATTAATGAAGAAGAATGTGTTTAAAAAATGAGCAATGTTGAAGTAATTTGAGGATTTAATTCATTGCAAATCAACAATCATTAATTATGAAAACCCAAAAATTACAGAGACATTTTTAAGAAAATTGCTGTTCCAAAATCTGTCTAGCCTGTTCAAAAGACACAAGTTCTTGCATCAGTGTGGCAAGCTTATCAACATTGTCTTTGTGAATCTTTTGTGGAACCTTTTCCTTGTAACCAGAAGCATTCATCATCTTTGAGAGCCCGTCGCATTGTCTACAAAATAAAAAGTAGGGAGAAAACATCATTTCATCGTTTATATTTCCCCTCCAATAACACCGATATGTGTCACAAGTTTCTCTCTCCTGTCTGAATGTATCTCACAAGTTCAAGCTCACTTAAAAACCAGTTATCAGATCAATTCAAATTATGAGAAAAAGGGAAAAAAAGTCCCTAACCCTAACAATCACAGCAAAAAAACTCACACCTAATGACTTCAGCTAATTCCATCACCTGTTGGTAACTCTTAAAGGTTTTAGCAATCACTTTTTTGGTCTATAATGACAAATTAATTACCCCATATGATTTCACATAATGTATACTCAAGAGTTAACTACTCTGACTGAAACTTGGATGACGATTCATAGGGTTGTCAATCTCCAGTACAGAGAAAATTGGCTTTTTTTTTTTTTGGGGGGGTTTAAGTTTAGTTTACGTGTCCAATCATGCAATGGGTTTGCCCAGTTATCTTNTTTTGGGGTTTAAGTTTAGTTTACGTGTCCAATCATGCAATGGGTTTGCCCAGTTATCTTAACTTCTACAATCCATCCTTCTCCGCTTTTAGAGCTTGTGCCAAATTCAGACATTGAGCCATGTAACTAGAAAGAATCAGAATCATACGTTATTTTCCCCTTTCNGGGGGGGTTTAAGTTTAGTTTACGTGTCCAATCATGCAATGGGTTTGCCCAGTTATCTTAACTTCTACAATCCATCCTTCTCCGCTTTTAGAGCTTGTGCCAAATTCAGACATTGAGCCATGTAACTAGAAAGAATCAGAATCATACGTTATTTTCCCCTTTCAGGTTCTCAACCAACAGGGTTAGATGGGTCGTGCAGAGGAAAAAGTGAACCTTCCTCAAATAATACAGAGCTTTGATACTGATCTAATATTTCCGTTCAATGTCATTTTCTTCCATGGGTAAATCGTATGCACACACCTTTTTATTCCATCCTTGCCTTTGGCAATGTTGGAATCCATGGCCGCCTACTCGTGGACAAGTCATAATAAACAACAAAGGCAAGATTGGAATCCATGAACTCTCACTCATCAAAAAGTAATTGTAGCCAACACTATTCCCTTTTTTTTTTGTTTTAGAAGTTAAGTAGCCAACACTATTCAGTGACATCGTTTGAGTAAGAAACTTGTAGATAGGTCTGAACGAGGTTCAATGACAAAAATTACTTACTTTTGTATCTCCTCCATCTTTTTCATGAGCTTTTCGCGTTCTGCTTCTGCATTGAGCGTTCCACGAAGCTTAAGAAATACCGACAGGTCTTCATTGACCACCGATACTTTACATCCAGCAGGGGCAGCATCATCCTTAGATAGAACCTAGTAGATTTTATTTTCAAAGATGAGAAGAATTATAGCTGAACAAGAGCAAGAACAAAAAACATTAGAGTATATCAAAGCTGAATAAGTAAGCTCTCATTACAGCAAAGCTAGAAGGAAAGTATTCCACATGGTTCCACAACCAGAACTTCTGCTTGAGCAGCTGTAAATAGAATTACCAAAAACACATTTTCTAACAGATTAATGGCCACAAGGCTATATAAAATTTTCAATATTCTACAGTAAGACATTATGATAATCAACAGAAAAGTTTCCAATTCACTACAAGTCTCGATTGATTGTCTCTTCTCTCGAGTGTTGACAAACGGCTATTATACAAGCATTTTGACACTATCTTGTGAATTTGTAATTCAGTTTCATGAGGTGAACAAACTGGAAAAGCTGTAGCAGTATAATTTTAGATTGGTTGGATTTTGAGCAACGTAAGATCAAATTTTAGGTTTTCAAGTGCTCTTAAAGATTGGAAAAAAAACAAAATACCGATATGTGAAGGACTTAACAACAAGGTGGATGCAAAGAATTATTAATGCAATCCATAAGATGCTCAAGAAAACGCAAATTCGAAGATATAAAACATAATGGAATTAGCTTTCCATCAAGACAAAGATCCATATGGAACTTTGCATTATTGTATTTAGAGTCTTATTTTTAGTTGCTTTGAGTTAGTTTGATAGTATTAGTGTTTTATGTGATTTTTTTTATATTTTTTTAAGACGTGGGTATTTTTGTAATTTTGCAAAATTTCTGGAACAAGTCATATTTTTTGGTCAAATTCTAGTGTTGAATATTCTAGAATTTGAAGTCCTAGTTCTAATTAATTTTAGTTTTCTAATTTGTAGGGACCTATAGTTTTTAGAGTCCTAGAGACTTTGAAATCCTAATCTTTTGGAATTAGGAGTACTTAAACTCTAGATATAGTTAGTATTACTTTTAATAAAATATAGAGAGAAATATTCATAAATTTTAACAATTACATACTTCTTGAGTTGTGTGATACAATTCTAACCCTAGGTGTGATGTCTAATGAACCTTGGGAGTGATTCGTAGTCAAAGTTACTATTCACAATACTGTTCATGAAAACTGTTCACAGCCCTTAAACAGTCCATATTTTGATTTTACAAAGTTGTCCTACATCAATTATCTTGAGTGCACATAAACATTAATTGTAAAAATGGTTTTCAAAAGTAATATTCTTCTTAATAGTTAGACCCTTGTCAGGTATGTGCTTATCAAAAAAATTTTTGAAGTGTTAGAAATGAGATGCATATATTCGAGCCTCAGCCCGGCCAAACCCCAAAAAGAGGGTAAGAAAAGAGGAACACTTGTGGAGACACAATTAACATGTACCAAAAGAAGACATCAACCAAAAACCTCTCTCTCATGATTAAAACTTATTAGCAAAATATCTAAGCACATACCTTCAAAGATGATAATGCACCGAGGGTTGAAATCTCCAGTTCACGGCTTTTAATAATCTCTGAAATTTCATTTGTTTGGCAACGCGCCAAAGCTGTTTGCCTACAGACAAATATTTCTGTCAAATCATTTTGCCATGATAATTTAGCTAATAAACTTTTGAGCATCGAGCAATTCAAATGGAATCTTCATGGCACTGCATAAACCAATGTAATCACAAAATCTCCTTAAGTCATACAGCTGCACCTTTAAGTCACAGACAGCCTGAATTGAAATTAGCACTCACATGACGAGGAGAATGGACTATGGAACAGTCCTTTTGTTTACTTATCGTTATGCATAAATGTCACTTTTTTGCATAATTCATCAGATTTCCATAATACTTGAAAATGCAAATGTTAACATAAACATGCGGTGAGCAGTAAGCATAAAAATTATGATATATAAGGATTTGTACAACTAGTTAAAAAAGGATGAAATAAGACTAGTTAGCGCTACCATGACCAACAGGACTGATACTTCAAGCCTCATGACACTTATGATTGCATTACCGAACTGAGTCATATTTCATTCATACTTGATAGACTGGAGTTGTAATAGTGGTCCAAGGATATCATTTGGGCAAGTTTATGGTATTTGGGTTAAAGTTAATGCTACTTGGCTTTTTGTTTGTGACCCCTTACTCCTCAGCAAATCTAAAATCATCCCAACAGCCCAAATGGAAAGTTCTTAATTTTCAAATTTCAGTTCTAAAGCTAAGTTACAAAGCAGTTCAACAGCCTAACAAAATCTACAAAACTTTCCAACAATGGCGTCTACTCTCAGACAAGTAAGATTGCATTATGTGTGATGCAACCTGAACTCAAGGAGCCTCGCCAAGTGCCCCCCCCCCCTTTCCTTCTCTCTTCTTCTTCCCCTTTCTTTTCCTCAAGTGTTTGTTAATTTCATAACTAGCAGCCCTAATAATATCTGTTTCCATCCATTTTCGGTAATCACTGCCACCACAAGAACTAATAGTAGCCAAAATATTTCTAGGTTAACCAGGGTAACATAACAAGAAGTTATTAATCTGTTGTTTTGTTTCCTCCACAAATTGTGTCTGTGCAAAGGAGATCAAATGTCATTTCTACAGAATCTACTAGATACATGTGTCAAACATCTCCTCTCATTAAGTTTCATTTATACCAAATTTGTGAAATGACAAATTCCTTCTTATTCATAGAGTTTAAGAACATGCAAATAATTGTGGAAATAAAAATGATAGGTGCAATTTGAAGTTGTGCTATCACACTGCATTCAAATTGTACGTTTATTTCAAATAGTATATGCATGTGTGGGCATATGCTTACATTATTTCAACAATTATGTACCTTTCATTTTTTTCCTTGGCAGGCAACAAGTCCCTGAATGACCTCAATGATTTCACAGCAGAATCAACCAAGTCCATCTCACGTTCTACTCTTTCATTAGTCCAAAACTGCAAAAAGTGTAACAAAAAAGGTTGAAAGGAAGTGCAAATGATGTTTTGCCAAACATTAATATTCAGACAGCCAATAAACAAGACAAAACCTAAATGACGTTGGACAGGACTCACCATCCAGTAACTCATTTCAAACAAGAAATGTTAACTACTTTGCAGTTGAACTATTATACAAATACTTAAACCTCCAAATGACTCAGAATTAACAAACATAGTTCTAAGCATTGGTATCAACCATAATAAGGGTGCCTATAAAACACAGCATAAGCCAACACATGAGGAACCATCACCCCCCAAAAAACACAAAAAGAACTGGCCTTGGAAGGAAAGATTTTTTCAAATCATAATCTTTCAGAAGCTGGCATCACTAAGAAAAGTACAGTAAATCAGTATTTTGATTGAACCATCTTGTTCAACCGGTTTATTAAAACCAGGGATTTCGAGCAGTTTGGTCCGGTTTGGATACAAAAACAGTCATTTAATTGAACCAGACCGGTAGCCAGTTAAACCAGTCTGATTCTAATAACTATGCTTAAAGGGAATCTTATCTCAAAGAATTGAATGGTGCATCCAACCCCAGGAGTTTTTTTTTTTTTTACTAAATTGTTCCTTAGACTCACAAATATAAAACTAGATCTTACCTCCACAACTGATGGATATTCGCATATCATGATAGATTCTTTCGTTGCATACTCCTTCCTAGCAGGAAGCCGCTGCCACAATTCTTCAGTGACATATGGCATAAATGGATGAAGTAACCGTAACCCATTATCCAGACATACCCACAAGGTGTCTTGTGCAAATCTTCTCGCATGCACAAATGATGGATCATTACTAGTAAAGTAAGGCTTTATTACTTCAATAAAAACATCACACAGTTGATACCGCCACCATGCATATACTGCTTCAGTTGCAGCTGAAAACTCATATGACTCAAGAGATGACACGGTTTTGGTTATGGCTTTGTTCAGTACTGACAGTATCCACTGGCAGCTGAATGGCATGATATCTGGAACTATATTCAACGGAGGGGTGTAGTCATCTCCAAGCTTGCTCATGGCAAATCTGATAGCATTCCACAATTTGTTACACCATTGACGATAACCAACAACCCTTTGAATATCCAAATTAATTTTGTCAGACTGGAAGAACAAAATGACAGAGAGTTACTGAACAGCCAAAGGGAGCAGAATGAAATCGGGAAAAAACAAGTCGAGAAAATCATGAACCTGGGCCGTGTAAGAGAGAAGGGCAAAACGCAGAGCATCTGCGCCACATTCAGGAATACCATTAGGGAAATCTTTCGCCTGCCCCTCCTTGGCGTCCTTCAATTGACTGATATCCAAGTTACCGTCCTCCAGTCTCTTGTGAAGTCCCTCCAGGGTTATTCCACTTATTACTTCAAGAGGATCAATTACGTTTCCCGACGACTTAGACATCTTATGCCCATGTGCATCACGAATCATGGGGTGCAAATAAACCTGAACACAGTTCAAAATGCATCCTTAAATTTATTTCAATCTCTTTTTAACAGATAAAGTACTAATACTTCAAAATTGTTGATGCTTCAATCATTTTAATAGACAAACTACTTGTATTTCAAAACTGTTTGCTAATACATCTATAACAACTGCTGCACTTATCTCACACCTAACCTATGGTGCCTTTTTTTTTAGCTTCCATTCAAGACCTTACAATATCTTTGGGGGCTATCTGACTACCAGTTTGAGGTGTTGCCATATATAAAAACAATGTGCTAAATTTGAACATTTAATCTATCATAATGAGGTTCACTGTTCACAGAATTTCACCAAACGACAAAACTAGAGAAGCCATGATGCAGAACACCATTCAATTAGCCACCACCAAAAGGCTCTATTATATCGTAGGATACAATCTACTCACCTTTCTAAAAGGCACAACACCTCCCAGCTTGATTNTTTTTTTTTTTTTTACTAAATTGTTCCTTAGACTCACAAATATAAAACTAGATCTTACCTCCACAACTGATGGATATTCGCATATCATGATAGATTCTTTCGTTGCATACTCCTTCCTAGCAGGAAGCCGCTGCCACAATTCTTCAGTGACATATGGCATAAATGGATGAAGTAACCGTAACCCATTATCCAGACATACCCACAAGGTGTCTTGTGCAAATCTTCTCGCATGCACAAATGATGGATCATTACTAGTAAAGTAAGGCTTTATTACTTCAATAAAAACATCACACAGTTGATACCGCCACCATGCATATACTGCTTCAGTTGCAGCTGAAAACTCATATGACTCAAGAGATGACACGGTTTTGGTTATGGCTTTGTTCAGTACTGACAGTATCCACTGGCAGCTGAATGGCATGATATCTGGAACTATATTCAACGGAGGGGTGTAGTCATCTCCAAGCTTGCTCATGGCAAATCTGATAGCATTCCACAATTTGTTACACCATTGACGATAACCAACAACCCTTTGAATATCCAAATTAATTTTGTCAGACTGGAAGAACAAAATGACAGAGAGTTACTGAACAGCCAAAGGGAGCAGAATGAAATCGGGAAAAAACAAGTCGAGAAAATCATGAACCTGGGCCGTGTAAGAGAGAAGGGCAAAACGCAGAGCATCTGCGCCACATTCAGGAATACCATTAGGGAAATCTTTCGCCTGCCCCTCCTTGGCGTCCTTCAATTGACTGATATCCAAGTTACCGTCCTCCAGTCTCTTGTGAAGTCCCTCCAGGGTTATTCCACTTATTACTTCAAGAGGATCAATTACGTTTCCCGACGACTTAGACATCTTATGCCCATGTGCATCACGAATCATGGGGTGCAAATAAACCTGAACACAGTTCAAAATGCATCCTTAAATTTATTTCAATCTCTTTTTAACAGATAAAGTACTAATACTTCAAAATTGTTGATGCTTCAATCATTTTAATAGACAAACTACTTGTATTTCAAAACTGTTTGCTAATACATCTATAACAACTGCTGCACTTATCTCACACCTAACCTATGGTGCCTTTTTTTTTAGCTTCCATTCAAGACCTTACAATATCTTTGGGGGCTATCTGACTACCAGTTTGAGGTGTTGCCATATATAAAAACAATGTGCTAAATTTGAACATTTAATCTATCATAATGAGGTTCACTGTTCACAGAATTTCACCAAACGACAAAACTAGAGAAGCCATGATGCAGAACACCATTCAATTAGCCACCACCAAAAGGCTCTATTATATCGTAGGATACAATCTACTCACCTTTCTAAAAGGCACAACACCTCCCAGCTTGATTCCTAACATAACCATGCGTGCAACCCAAAAGAAGAGAATGTCGTGCCCAGTTTCGAGTACTGAAGTTGGATAAAAAGCCTTCAAATCTTCAGAATCATCTGGCCACCCCAGCACAGACAGCGGAAAAATACCAGATGAAAACCAGGTGTCCAAAACATCAGGATCCTGAGTCAGCCGAAGCTTCTTCCCATCAAATATTTTGCTAGCTTCTAGCAAAGCCGCCTCCTCATTTCTAGCAACCACCCAATGGTCTTTGAAGGCACCAAGTTCCTTCAGTTCATCATCCTCTAGAGTCACATACCACGCAGGAATTTGGTGGCCCCACCAAAGCTGCCTTGAGACACACCAATCACGAATGTTCTCAAGCCATCTGTGATATTTTAAGACAAGCAATTAAGTACCAGATGTTTCAGTTGATATGTTAAATATGCTATACCCTAAGAGACATGGCTCATGATATTTTGTTTCCATCATTCCCTACAATGAAACATTAACAGTGCGTATTGAGCAAGTTAAGATCACATACCTCTTCCACTCAGCAATGTATTGTTTTGGAATGATCTCAATTTTCTTACTTTCATCATTCATGACAGCATCGAAAGCTTCTGCAGCCATACTACTGCAGTTGACATACCACTGAGGCTTTATCATAGGCTCCACCACATCCTTGGTTCTTGAACAAATGCCAAGGCGCATCTCATGTGCTTTAACACCTTTATGGAGTCCCTGTATGCGAGGAAAATAAAAAGTTAATGATTTAATTTTGTATTTCTTTCATCTAAAGAAAAAGGCAGACTGATTTTTTTATATACTGTGAATACCTTTTCCTGTAAAGCTACGGTCACTGCCTCGCGGGCTTTGAAACGTGGCATGCCTGCAAACACCATACCGCCATTGCTATTTATTCTTCCATCATCTGTGAAAATGTTGATAAAATCAAGATTATGTCGCTTTCCAACTTCAAAATCATTTGGATCATGCGCTGGAGTTATCTGCAAGAGAATGGAGGCTAGATTCATTAATATTAACAATAAAAGGGTTAACTAAGTAGATTAAATTCTTAGTCATGCAGGAAAATTTGCACCTTGACAGCACCAGTCCCAAATTTCGGATCAACAAGTATTGCATCACAAATTATGGGAAGTTTCCTTCCATTGAATGGATGTATGGCAAATTTCCCATGAAGATGGCTGTATCTTTGGTCGTCAGGATGTATGGCAATAGCAGTATCACCAAGCATTGTTTCAACTCTAGTCGTGGCCACAACAATGTCTCCAAGACCTCCTTCCAGAGGGTAAGCAAATGATGTCAAAACACCAAACTCCACTTCATTTTCATATCCAGGAACCTTTAAAAATTCTCCCTCTACTTTTTCTTCACACTTATGATTCTCACTTGTAGACTCCTTATGATTCTCATTTGTAGACTTAGTGCTACTGCAGCAGCCACAAGGAATGGTCTTGCCTTTGATTTCCACATATTCCACCTACAAACACCAAGCAATTCCCAGAAATGTAAAATAAAAGTCCTAACCATGCCATTTGATAGACAGATGGTCATAGCTTACCTCAATATCCGAAATTGCTGTTCTCAAGAAACAATCCCAATTCACTAGCCGCAGATCCCTGAAATATGAGGAAAAAGGATAAAAATCTCCAAGCAGGTTATGTGTCGCATTGCAGGATGATAAGCTGTCAAACACGTTGAGAGTATAGTATATAAGGAAACATTAAGACGAACCAGCTACATCAATAAAAATATGAATACGCTAGAGTCAGCTTAAATGTTCCTCTAACAAAGTCAAACAGCTAACTTCAAGAACTAGTATTAAGGCCATCACCCATTGCTGGTCATGCTTAGTGTTGAGAGGGGTCGGCTGAACATAGTGAACGTTTTATTGGGTGCAAACAACAATTTCTCTTAAGTTAATAAACTAGATTACAAGAATATATATAGCCCAAGTAAATTAAAAAAAACCTAGACTAACCAAAAGACAAATATACCCCTATTATAAAAACTGATATACACTCTCACCCCTTCCCTTTCTCAAACTCATGATGTAAGATAGGAGAGCATCGAGAGTTTGTCAAATAAGAATTGAAAACGAGTTGAAGTGTGAGACTTAGTGAAAGAATCTGCAAGCTGTAGTGAAGAAGATATAAACGACAAAGTAATAGTGCCCAGCTGAAGATGTCCACAACATTCAACAACAGTACCATCACATAACTTAAATATTCCCTCTATTTCAGCTTCGATGTTAACCTCCATAAGATACAAATATCTAAAATTTTCTGCTACTTTATCAAAGGACCTTTGACAGGTAAGGCAAATGCGCAATACTTCCTTATCACCATGGGCATAATGCAAGCAAACCATAATCTCTACATCATAAGCCCATGTACTTAAACCATGGCAAGGCCAAGTTCAACCTCTAGCTTCTTTGACAGTCGCATTGTTATTGTTCATTACAAGTGAGCCATTATTAATTGTTGAACCCAAGTGACTCAAACATAGTATTTGGGTCGAGAGGCATTGTTGCACAAAAAACCGGTTCATTGAACTTGAGATCCTTGTCATCTTTATTGATTGAAACCAGTGTTGTAAAAAGCATGCCTAGGCTCGCGCTAGGCTCAAGGCGCATCAGGGCCCACCATCAACACTATAGGAGATTCTAGGCATTGTTTTAAAACCCGGCTCAGCCCGGCGAGTCAACCCGGTGAACCGGTCCCCTAACCGGGCCAGTTCTATTAAAAAACTGTTTGTGTACAGAACCCGGCATAAACCCATTGAACCGGTGAACCCGTGAGAATCGAACGAATTTATCAAAACCGGACGGTTTAAGTTCATTCTATAAATCTGACTATCTGAGATCCCTTTTTGGCCTTTTGTTTTTTTTTCTCCTTTCTTTTGTTTGTTACTTTGTTGCCCTAATCTAAATCGATCCACTCCACTTCCAGACTCTAGAGTCCAGAGTCGCACAACACCTCGCTTCCATCACCAACCGACGGATGAGATGGAAAATCATCGACAAACAATTTCAGGGCTCTTGGATGTAATTGAGAGATATGCTTATGAAAATCCCAGTTTGAGTAGTAAATTGACAAATGAGATGAAATTANCCGACTGACCACCACCTTGCCTCCAGACTCTAGAGCAATAGCGACTGACCACCACCTCACCTCCACCACCTCGCCTCCTCCAGAGCAGCGATCAGCAGCGACTGACCACGACCTCGCCTCCTCCAATGCAGCGACTGACCACCATCAGCAGCGATCAGCATCCAGTTCCCCCCCTCTCTCTATCTCTCTCTCCAGTCCAGTGACTCCATTAACTGTAAGTCCTTTGACTTCTTTGCGTGCCGTTTTTATACTCTTTGAATATTTGTTTTGTGAATCTGATTGTGTGTTTGATTATCACAAAGTGCTTGAATTTGGTCTTAATTTTCTTCAATTCGTATTTTATTAGAGATATGTTATCCCCTAGTGTTTCACATAGGGTTTACAAGACAAAGATTCATGCAATTTCAAAATTAACATCAATAAATGTAACTTGTCCTGTTTTCCATTGCTCTCTTTCGCAAATCATGACCTAAAACTAATTATAAGTATTTAACCCAATAAAAAAAGTAGCACACTAATTTTGATATGAGAAGATCAAGGGATATAACTATGAGCATCGGCCAAATCTAGCAACACCAATGGCAATAAACCTAAATGACACATACGAGAATCAGAGACAACCATTTTAAACAAGTGAAATAGGCATGCCTCCAAGGACAGATGAGCAGTAGTTTGAGATGTGTTTACTTGATCTAAGATCAAATTTTGCTCAATGTTTTCTTTTCTTTTCTTTTCTTTTTTTGATAGTTGCCATAGATATACACTTGCAATTTGGTCTTAAATTACTTGGTTTATGCTATTATTGGTATCACACTACTCAAATTCATATTGGTATCAAATCTGATCTATTTTTTGTGTATCTTAGACTATTAGTTTATAATTTAAAGTTTAAAGTTAGTGTGTTGTGTTGTGGGGTTTAATTACTTGTGAGTTGTAGCTTTTTGGTTTTTGATGTCATATCAGAGATTTAGAATGTCTTCATCTGGAACACCAATTGAATCTCAATCTACACCAACTAGCGCTACACCAAATTCTTCTTCTACAAAAGTTACAGTAAGAGGAAAGACTGACCCAGCATGGGCACATTGTTGGGAAGACTCTGTGTCTACAAAAAGAGGAAAGAATTTGATTTGTATGTATTGCCACAAGGTAATTAAGGGAGGTGGTATCAATAGATTCAAGCAACATTTGGCGGGGATTAAAGAAGAAGTAGAACAATGTACTAGATGCCCTCCCAATGTTAGTTATGAGATAAGATTGGTTCTGGAGAGTACTGTGACCAAGAAAAGAAAGACACAACAACATTATGGTGAAATGAATCCATATGGACCAGAGTTTCGAAATTATGAAGAGCAGGAATATATGTAAGAAAATGATGATGTTCAAGAAATTCCATCCTCTTATAAAGCAAAAAGCATTTCCATTGGTGGAGGTCATGGTAAATCAATACATAACAAGGATGTAGCAAGAAAAGGTAAAACAATTGGCTCTTACTTTGTACCAAGGTACCCCCGGTTCTCAACCTACTATCAAAAGTGTTTTGCAAAGTAAGGAGGCAAAAGAGAGGTGTGATCTTGCAGTTTCTAAATGAATAATGGATGCTTGCATTCCCTTTAATACCGTGAATTCCATGTATTATCAGTCTATGATAGATACAATTACTGGTTTTGGTTGTGGTTATAAGGGCCCTAACCTTTGTGCCTTGCGTGGTTATTTGTTGAACAAGAATGTTGAAGAAGTGAAAAATTTTGTCTATAGTTTTCAAACCACCTGGAAAGAGACTGGTTGTACTATCATGGCTGATGGGTGGACAGATCAATGTAGGAGAACATTGATTAATTTCTTGGTTTATTGTCCTAGAGGAACGGTGTTTTTAAAGTCTGTTAATGCTTCTGATGCTTCTAAGACAACATATATGCTATATAAGTTATTTAAGGAAGTTGTGTTACAAGTTGGTGTAGAAAATGTGGCACACATAGTGACCGACAACGCTGCCAATTATGTTATTGCTGGGAGGTTATTGGAGCAGGAGTTTCGCACAATATCTTGGTCACCATGTGCAACTCATTGTTTGAATTTGATGCTACAATACATTGGCAAGTTGGATGAGGTAAACCATGTTGTCTCCCAGGCTTTAAAGATTACAAAATATGTATATAATCATTGCTTTCCATTACATTTGATGAGGAAACACACTGGTGGAAGGAAAATATTTCGTCCTGCTCCTACACGGTTTACAACCAATTTCATTGCATTGCAAAGTATTTTAGCTCAAAAGGATGCCTTCCGAGCTATGGTGGTATCAAGGGAATGGACTATGTCAGCATATGCGAAGGATAGCAAAGGAAGAAAATTCGTTGACAGTGTGTTGGATTCTAGTTTTTGGAAAGAATGTGCTATTATTGTCCAACTCACAGAACCTCTTGTGCGCGTGCTACGCCTTGTTGATAATGATGATAGGCGTTCAATGGGCTACTTGTATATGGCTATACATAAAGCTAGTGAGGAGTTGTTGAAAAGATTTCAGAGAAAGAGAAAAAGAGTAGATGTTTACTTGAAAATCATTGATAGTTGTTGGAATCGTCAACTTCATAAAAATCTTCATGCTGCTGGTTATTGGTTGAACCCAAGTAATCAATATAAGTCGGATGAGATGGAAAATCATCGACAAACAATTTCAGGGCTCTTGGATGTAATTGAGCGATATGCTTATGAAAATCCCAGTTTGAGTAGTAAATNCCCGGCGAGTCAACCCGGTGAACCGGTCCCCTAACCGGGCCAGTTCTATTAAAAAACTGTTTGTGTACAGAACCCGGCATAAACCCATTGAACCGGTGAACCCGTGAGAATCGAACGAATTTATCAAAACCGGACGGTTTAAGTTCATTCTATAAATCTGACTATCTGAGATCCCTTTTTGGCCTTTTGTTTTTTTTTNTTCCACTTATTACTTCAAGAGGATCAATTACGTTTCCCGACGACTTAGACATCTTATGCCCATGTGCATCACGAATCATGGGGTGCAAATAAACCTGAACACAGTTCAAAATGCATCCTTAAATTTATTTCAATCTCTTTTTAACAGATAAAGTACTAATACTTCAAAATTGTTGATGCTTCAATCATTTTAATAGACAAACTACTTGTATTTCAAAACTGTTTGCTAATACATCTATAACAACTGCTGCACTTATCTCACACCTAACCTATGGTGCCTTTTTTTTTAGCTTCCATTCAAGACCTTACAATATCTTTGGGGGCTATCTGACTACCAGTTTGAGGTGTTGCCATATATAAAAACAATGTGCTAAATTTGAACATTTAATCTATCATAATGAGGTTCACTGTTCACAGAATTTCACCAAACGACAAAACTAGAGAAGCCATGATGCAGAACACCATTCAATTAGCCACCACCAAAAGGCTCTATTATATCGTAGGATACAATCTACTCACCTTTCTAAAAGGCACAACACCTCCCAGCTTGATTCCTAACATAACCATGCGTGCAACCCAAAAGAAGAGAATGTCGTGCCCAGTTTCGAGTACTGAAGTTGGATAAAAAGCCTTCAAATCTTCAGAATCATCTGGCCACCCCAGCACAGACAGCGGAAAAATACCAGATGAAAACCAGGTGTCCAAAACATCAGGATCCTGAGTCAGCCGAAGCTTCTTCCCATCAAATATTTTGCTAGCTTCTAGCAAAGCCGCCTCCTCATTTCTAGCAACCACCCAATGGTCTTTGAAGGCACCAAGTTCCTTCAGTTCATCATCCTCTAGAGTCACATACCACGCAGGAATTTGGTGGCCCCACCAAAGCTGCCTTGAGACACACCAATCACGAATGTTCTCAAGCCATCTGTGATATTTTAAGACAAGCAATTAAGTACCAGATGTTTCAGTTGATATGTTAAATATGCTATACCCTAAGAGACATGGCTCATGATATTTTGTTTCCATCATTCCCTACAATGAAACATTAACAGTGCGTATTGAGCAAGTTAAGATCACATACCTCTTCCACTCAGCAATGTATTGTTTTGGAATGATCTCAATTTTCTTACTTTCATCATTCATGACAGCATCGAAAGCTTCTGCAGCCATACTACTGCAGTTGACATACCACTGAGGCTTTATCATAGGCTCCACCACATCCTTGGTTCTTGAACAAATGCCAAGGCGCATCTCATGTGCTTTAACACCTTTATGGAGTCCCTGTATGCGAGGAAAATAAAAAGTTAATGATTTAATTTTGTATTTCTTTCATCTAAAGAAAAAGGCAGACTGATTTTTTTATATACTGTGAATACCTTTTCCTGTAAAGCTACGGTCACTGCCTCGCGGGCTTTGAAACGTGGCATGCCTGCAAACACCATACCGCCATTGCTATTTATTCTTCCATCATCTGTGAAAATGTTGATAAAATCAAGATTATGTCGCTTTCCAACTTCAAAATCATTTGGATCATGCGCTGGAGTTATCTGCAAGAGAATGGAGGCTAGATTCATTAATATTAACAATAAAAGGGTTAACTAAGTAGATTAAATTCTTAGTCATGCAGGAAAATTTGCACCTTGACAGCACCAGTCCCAAATTTCGGATCAACAAGTATTGCATCACAAATTATGGGAAGTTTCCTTCCATTGAATGGATGTATGGCAAATTTCCCATGAAGATGGCTGTATCTTTGGTCGTCAGGATGTATGGCAATAGCAGTATCACCAAGCATTGTTTCAACTCTAGTCGTGGCCACAACAATGTCTCCAAGACCTCCTTCCAGAGGGTAAGCAAATGATGTCAAAACACCAAACTCCACTTCATTTTCATATCCAGGAACCTTTAAAAATTCTCCCTCTACTTTTTCTTCACACTTATGATTCTCACTTGTAGACTCCTTATGATTCTCATTTGTAGACTTAGTGCTACTGCAGCAGCCACAAGGAATGGTCTTGCCTTTGATTTCCACATATTCCACCTACAAACACCAAGCAATTCCCAGAAATGTAAAATAAAAGTCCTAACCATGCCATTTGATAGACAGATGGTCATAGCTTACCTCAATATCCGAAATTGCTGTTCTCAAGAAACAATCCCAATTCACTAGCCGCAGATCCCTGAAATATGAGGAAAAAGGATAAAAATCTCCAAGCAGGTTATGTGTCGCATTGCAGGATGATAAGCTGTCAAACACGTTGAGAGTATAGTATATAAGGAAACATTAAGACGAACCAGCTACATCAATAAAAATATGAATACGCTAGAGTCAGCTTAAATGTTCCTCTAACAAAGTCAAACAGCTAACTTCAAGAACTAGTATTAAGGCCATCACCCATTGCTGGTCATGCTTAGTGTTGAGAGGGGTCGGCTGAACATAGTGAACGTTTTATTGGGTGCAAACAACAATTTCTCTTAAGTTAATAAACTAGATTACAAGAATATATATAGCCCAAGTAAATTAAAAAAAACCTAGACTAACCAAAAGACAAATATACCCCTATTATAAAAACTGATATACACTCTCACCCCTTCCCTTTCTCAAACTCATGATGTAAGATAGGAGAGCATCGAGAGTTTGTCAAATAAGAATTGAAAACGAGTTGAAGTGTGAGACTTAGTGAAAGAATCTGCAAGCTGTAGTGAAGAAGATATAAACGACAAAGTAATAGTGCCCAGCTGAAGATGTCCACAACATTCAACAACAGTACCATCACATAACTTAAATATTCCCTCTATTTCAGCTTCGATGTTAACCTCCATAAGATACAAATATCTAAAATTTTCTGCTACTTTATCAAAGGACCTTTGACAGGTAAGGCAAATGCGCAATACTTCCTTATCACCATGGGCATAATGCAAGCAAACCATAATCTCTACATCATAAGCCCATGTACTTAAACCATGGCAAGGCCAAGTTCAACCTCTAGCTTCTTTGACAGTCGCATTGTTATTGTTCATTACAAGTGAGCCATTATTAATTGTTGAACCCAAGTGACTCAAACATAGTATTTGGGTCGAGAGGCATTGTTGCACAAAAAACCGGTTCATTGAACTTGAGATCCTTGTCATCTTTATTGATTGAAACCAGTGTTGTAAAAAGCATGCCTAGGCTCGCGCTAGGCTCAAGGCGCATCAGGGCCCACCATCAACACTATAGGAGATTCTAGGCATTGTTTTAAAACCCGGCTCAGCCCGGCGAGTCAACCCGGTGAACCGGTCCCCTAACCGGGCCAGTTCTATTAAAAAACTGTTTGTGTACAGAACCCGGCATAAACCCATTGAACCGGTGAACCCGTGAGAATCGAACGAATTTATCAAAACCGGACGGTTTAAGTTCATTCTATAAATCTGACTATCTGAGATCCCTTTTTGGCCTTTTGTTTTTTTTTTCTCCTTTCTTTTGTTTGTTACTTTGTTGCCCTAATCTAAATCGATCCACTCCACTTCCAGACTCTAGAGTCCAGAGTCGCACAACACCTCGCTTCCATCACCAACCGACGGATGAGATGGAAAATCATCGACAAACAATTTCAGGGCTCTTGGATGTAATTGAGAGATATGCTTATGAAAATCCCAGTTTGAGTAGTAAATTGACAAATGAGATGAAATTATTCAGAAATGCAGACTTTGGGAGAGTAACTGCAATAAGCGATCGAGAGAGAATGCTTCCCGGTATTTAAAATATTTAGTATTCTAATTCAAGTTATATACTTCACTTTTGTTGTTAACATTTGACTGTAATGCATTACATTATTAAATACAGATGAGTGGTGGTTGTGCTATGGAAGTAGCGCGCCAAACTTACAAAAATTAGTCATTCGTGTCTTAAGCCAAACATGCAGTTCTTCCGGTTGCAAATGAAATTGGAGTATATTTGAACACATCCATTCTAAGAAAAGAAATAGGTTGGAGCATCAAAGGGTTAATAACCTTGTTTATGTTCACTACAATTAATGATTGCAACCAAGGTACATAATTTTTATTAGCATTTAACTACAATTATGGTCAGTTTATTTACGTGTATTTTCACCTTGTAAATGATGGCGTGTAAGAATTACTTGAGGGGTAGAAATTATGATCCTATTGACTTTGAAGATTTCACAAATAATGCCTCATGGATTTTAGAGGATGAGCCTCCAACTTTAACAATGGATGAATTAGAAACTTTTCGTCGTGAACTAGTTGCGTGCAATATCCAAACAAACCCGAATAATGGTAATTTATTCCATCACAATTATTTATTTCAAATTAGTTTTTGATTAGTCAATAAATAATGTTTGTTTGGATATAATGTAGCTAAAACTTTGGTTTTTGAATTGGATGATAACGATGATGATCTTGTGGACCCTCAAAATGAGGAGTGTAATGAGGGAGGTGTTGACAATGCAACTACAAGTAATGCTGAAAATTTCAATTGTCTTGGAGTTGAGAATCCTCCTGAGTTTGGCAAGGATTGGAGTTCATGGAGTAGGAGCGCTCGTTGAAAAAATGAGAATGAATAGATATGTCTATTACACTATTTTTATGACGAACTTTTACTTTTGTGAACATTGTTATTTCATATTTGGGATTTTGTACTTGTAACTTATNAAAATCATCGACAAACAATTTCAGGGCTCTTGGATGTAATTGAGCGATATGCTTATGAAAATCCCAGTTTGAGTAGTAAATTGACAAATGAGATGAAATTATTCAGAAATGCAGACTTTGGGAGAGTAACTGCAATAAGCGATCGAGAGAGAATGCTNGTTTGTGTACAGAACCCGGCATAAACCCATTGAACCGGTGAACCCGTGAGAATCGAACGAATTTATCAAAACCGGACGGTTTAAGTTCATTCTATAAATCTGACTATCTGAGATCCCTTTTTGGCCTTTTGTTTTTTTTTCTCCTTTCTTTTGTTTGTTACTTTGTTGCCCTAATCTAAATCGATCCACTCCACTTCCAGACTCTAGAGTCCAGAGTCGCACAACACCTCGCTTCCATCACCAACCGACGGATGAGATGGAAAATCATCGACAAACAATTTCAGGGCTCTTGGATGTAATTGAGAGATATGCTTATGAAAATCCCAGTTTGAGTAGTAAATTGACAAATGAGATGAAATTATTCAGAAATGCAGACTTTGGGAGAGTAACTGCAATAAGCGATCGAGAGAGAATGCTTCCCGGTATTTAAAATATTTAGTATTCTAATTCAAGTTATATACTTCACTTTTGTTGTTAACATTTGACTGTAATGCATTACATTATTAAATACAGATGAGTGGTGGTTGTGCTATGGAAGTAGCGCGCCAAACTTACAAAAATTAGTCATTCGTGTCTTAAGCCAAACATGCAGTTCTTCCGGTTGCAAATGAAATTGGAGTATATTTGAACACATCCATTCTAAGAAAAGAAATAGGTTGGAGCATCAAAGGGTTAATAACCTTGTTTATGTTCACTACAATTAATGATTGCAACCAAGGTACATAATTTTTATTAGCATTTAACTACAATTATGGTCAGTTTATTTACGTGTATTTTCACCTTGTAAATGATGGTGTGTAAGAATTACTTGAGGGGTAGAAATTATGATCCTATTGACTTTGAAGATTTCACAAATAATGCCTCATGGATTTTAGAGGATGAGCCTCCAACTTTAACAATGGATGAATTAGAAACTTTTCGTCGTGAACTAGTTGCGTGCAATATCCAAACAAACCCGAATAATGGTAATTTATTCCATCACAATTATTTATTTCAAATTAGTTNTGACCACCACCTTGCCTCCAGACTCTAGAGCAATAGCGACTGACCACCACCTCACCTCCACCACCTCGCCTCCTCCAGAGCAGCGATCAGCAGCGACTGACCACGACCTCGCCTCCTCCAATGCAGCGACTGACCACCATCAGCAGCGATCAGCATCCAGTTCCCCCCCTCTCTCTATCTCTCTCTCCAGTCCAGTGACTCCATTAACTGTAAGTCCTTTGACTTCTTTGCGTGCCGTTTTTATACTCTTTGAATATTTGTTTTGTGAATCTGATTGTGTGTTTGATTATCACAAAGTGCTTGAATTTGGTCTTAATTNAGGATACATGTTTGATAATTTTGCTTTACTTAACTTTATATGTTTGATGTTATTTTTATAATTATTGTGATTTTTTAGCTTATTTATAATTATTGTTTAATTTTTTATTATATTACCGGTCCGACCAGTAACCCAACGGTTGAACCAGTGACCCATTGACCCGGTCCCTTCACCGGGTTGATGTCCGAGCCGGGTTTTAAAATTATGGTTCTAGGCAAGGCTCCTCCAAAGCTCAATTAAAGCACAAAAAATGCGTGACTGAGGCTTAAGCACAAAGCACAAAAAACAAACACCTTTTTTTTGTTTCTTTATGTGATTTATGTTAGACCACAAACATGTTAATTGGATAGTTTCTATGATATACTACCTACCTGATCTTAAGCTCTTGATATACAAATACTTAACACTAACCCTAACCCAAAACTTTTTGTTTCTTCAACACACTGAACTACCTCTCCTCTCCTCTCCAACTTTTGAATTATCTTTTTTCCTCTTCTAACTCGATTGTTGCAACTGAGCCCATCTTTTTTTATTTGGTTTTCTTTTTATTTAGAACTGGTTACTCTATTTTTCCAACATCTCTACCTTTTTTTTTTTTTTTNATGTTATCCCCTAGTGTTTCACATAGGGTTTACAAGACAAAGATTCATGCAATTTCAAAATTAACATCAATAAATGTAACTTGTCCTGTTTTCCATTGCTCTCTTTCGCAAATCATGACCTAATACTAATTATAAGTATTTAACCCAATAAAAAAAGTAGCACACTAATTTTGATATGAGAAGATCAAGGGATATAACTATGAGCATCGGCCAAATCTAGCAACACCAATGGCAATAAACCTAAATGACACATACGAGAATCAGAGACAACCATTTTAAACAAGTGAAATAGGCATGCCTCCAAGGACAGATGAGCAGTAGTTTGAGATGTGTTTACTTGATCTAAGATCAAATTTTGCTCAATGTTTTCTTTTCTTTTCTTTTCTTTTTTTGATAGTTGCCATAGATATACACTTGCAATTTGGTCTTAAATTACTTGGTTTATGCTATTATTGGTATCACACTACTCAAATTCATATTGGTATCAAATCTGATCTATTTTTTGTGTATCTTAGACTATTAGTTTATAATTTAAAGTTTAAAGTTAGTGTGTTGTGTTGTGGGGTTTAATTACTTGTGAGTTGTAGCTTTTTGGTTTTTGATGTCATATCAGAGATTTAGAATGTCTTCATCTGGAACACCAATTGAATCTCAATCTACACCAACTAGCGCTACACCAAATTCTTCTTCTACAAAAGTTACAGTAAGAGGAAAGACTGACCCAGCATGGGCACATTGTTGGGAAGACTCTGTGTCTACAAAAAGAGGAAAGAATTTGATTTGTATGTATTGCCACAAGGTAATTAAGGGAGGTGGTATCAATAGATTCAAGCAACATTTGGCGGGGATTAAAGAAGAAGTAGAACAATGTACTAGATGCCCTCCCAATGTTAGTTATGAGATAAGATTGGTTCTGGAGAGTACTGTGACCAAGAAAAGAAAGACACAACAACATTATGGTGAAATGAATCCATATGGACCAGAGTTTCGAAATTATGAAGAGCAGGAATATATGTAAGAAAATGATGATGTTCAAGAAATTCCATCCTCTTATAAAGCAAAAAGCATTTCCATTGGTGGAGGTCATGGTAAATCAATACATAACAAGGATGTAGCAAGAAAAGGTAAAACAATTGGCTCTTACTTTGTACCAAGGTACCCCCGGTTCTCAACCTACTATCAAAAGTGTTTTGCAAAGTAAGGAGGCAAAAGAGAGGTGTGATCTTGCAGTTTCTAAATGAATAATGGATGCTTGCATTCCCTTTAATACCGTGAATTCCATGTATTATCAGTCTATGATAGATACAATTACTGGTTTTGGTTGTGGTTATAAGGGCCCTAACCTTTGTGCCTTGCGTGGTTATTTGTTGAACAAGAATGTTGAAGAAGTGAAAAATTTTGTCTATAGTTTTCAAACCACCTGGAAAGAGACTGGTTGTACTATCATGGCTGATGGGTGGACAGATCAATGTAGGAGAACATTGATTAATTTCTTGGTTTATTGTCCTAGAGGAACGGTGTTTTTAAAGTCTGTTAATGCTTCTGATGCTTCTAAGACAACATATATGCTATATAAGTTATTTAAGGAAGTTGTGTTACAAGTTGGTGTAGAAAATGTGGCACACATAGTGACCGACAACGCTGCCAATTATGTTATTGCTGGGAGGTTATTGGAGCAGGAGTTTCGCACAATATCTTGGTCACCATGTGCAACTCATTGTTTGAATTTGATGCTACAATACATTGGCAAGTTGGATGAGGTAAACCATGTTGTCTCCCAGGCTTTAAAGATTACAAAATATGTATATAATCATTGCTTTCCATTACATTTGATGAGGAAACACACTGGTGGAAGGAAAATATTTCGTCCTGCTCCTACACGGTTTACAACCAATTTCATTGCATTGCAAAGTATTTTAGCTCAAAAGGATGCCTTCCGAGCTATGGTGGTATCAAGGGAATGGACTATGTCAGCATATGCGAAGGATAGCAAAGGAAGAAAATTCGTTGACAGTGTGTTGGATTCTAGTTTTTGGAAAGAATGTGCTATTATTGTCCAACTCACAGAACCTCTTGTGCGCGTGCTACGCCTTGTTGATAATGATGATAGGCGTTCAATGGGCTACTTGTATATGGCTATACATAAAGCTAGTGAGGAGTTGTTGAAAAGATTTCAGAGAAAGAGAAAAAGAGTAGATGTTTACTTGAAAATCATTGATAGTTGTTGGAATCGTCAACTTCATAAAAATCTTCATGCTGCTGGTTATTGGTTGAACCCAAGTAATCAATATAAGTCGGATGAGATGGAAAATCATCGACAAACAATTTCAGGGCTCTTGGATGTAATTGAGCGATATGCTTATGAAAATCCCAGTTTGAGTAGTAAATTGACAAATGAGATGAAATTATTCAGAAATGCAGACTTTGGGAGAGTAACTGCAATAAGCGATCGAGAGAGAATGCTTCCCGGTATTTAAAATATTTAGTATTCTAATTCAAGTTATATACTTCACTTTTGTTGTTAACATTTGACTGTAATGCATTACATTATTAAATACAGATGAGTGGTGGTTGTGCTATGGAAGTAGCGCGCCAAACTTACAAAAATTAGTCATTCGTGTCTTAAGCCAAACATGCAGTTCTTCCGGTTGCAAATGAAATTGGAGTATATTTGAACACATCCATTCTAAGAAAAGAAATAGGTTGGAGCATCAAAGGGTTAATAACCTTGTTTATGTTCACTACAATTAATGATTGCAACCAAGGTACATAATTTTTATTAGCATTTAACTACAATTATGGTCAGTTTATTTACGTGTATTTTCACCTTGTAAATGATGGCGTGTAAGAATTACTTGAGGGGTAGAAATTATGATCCTATTGACTTTGAAGATTTCACAAATAATGCCTCATGGATTTTAGAGGATGAGCCTCCAACTTTAACAATGGATGAATTAGAAACTTTTCGTCGTGAACTAGTTGCGTGCAATATCCAAACAAACCCGAATAATGGTAATTTATTCCATCACAATTATTTATTTCAAATTAGTTTTTGATTAGTCAATAAATAATGTTTGTTTGGATATAATGTAGCTAAAACTTTGGTTTTTGAATTGGATGATAACGATGATGATCTTGTGGACCCTCAAAATGAGGAGTGTAATGAGGGAGGTGTTGACAATGCAACTACAAGTAATGCTGAAAATTTCAATTGTCTTGGAGTTGAGAATCCTCCTGAGTTTGGCAAGGATTGGAGTTCATGGAGTAGGAGCGCTCGTTGAAAAAATGAGAATGAATAGATATGTCTATTACACTATTTTTATGACGAACTTTTACTTTTGTGAACATTGTTATTTCATATTTGGGATTTTGTACTTGTAACTTATGGATTATGCCATTGTGGTATTGTACTTTTCATTTGTGTGTTTTATGTTTGTTTAAGATTATGAACTTGTGGATTGTTTATTGATTTAAGAACATTATGAATTGTGATATTGAACTTGTGGCTTGTTTGGGATTTTTATTAATCATTATATATAATTGGGTTGTACTTTTCATTTGGGATTTTTATTAATCATTATGACCATAGCTCATGTGTTTTGTTTTGTTTTCATGTGTCTTGCAGCTTGCTTACTACAGTTTGAGTATAAAGTTTGAACTTTGAAGAGTGCAAAATCAAATTACATGGATTATGCTTAGATTGATACATTGTCGAAGATTTGGATTTAGACTTGAAGCTTTGAACTTCAATAGAGGTATTTTTCTCTACTTAACTTTACAAGTTGTATTGAAAATTGAATACATTGAAATAGGATACATGTTTGATAATTTTGCTTTACTTAACTTTATATGTTTGATGTTATTTTTATAATTATTGTGATTTTTTAGCTTATTTATAATTATTGTTTAATTTTTTATTATATTACCGGTCCGACCAGTAACCCAACGGTTGAACCAGTGACCCATTGACCCGGTCCCTTCACCGGGTTGATGTCCGAGCCGGGTTTTAAAATTATGGTTCTAGGCAAGGCTCCTCCAAAGCTCAATTAAAGCACAAAAAATGCGTGACTGAGGCTTAAGCACAAAGCACAAAAAACAAACACCTTTTTTTTGTTTCTTTATGTGATTTATGTTAGACCACAAACATGTTAATTGGATAGTTTCTATGATATACTACCTACCTGATCTTAAGCTCTTGATATACAAATACTTAACACTAACCCTAACCCAAAACT